CTCTTACACATATCACAATAACACACCCTCAAGAACAACAACAACAGGATGAGTTGTGCTTGGGAACCAATCCTCTGAATTCTACACAAGAAGTGTTTATTTCCTAATTCAATTCTGGAGATTGGGTGACTGAATGGTTAACACGTGCGTGCTATATCACACGGTCTGTCATTGAGTCAACTGGCACGGTTTCGATTCCCCCGGACTTGTATGTGACAAGGAGTATGGTCGCCCGTCCAACCTTGTGGGTTTTCTCCGGGTGCTCCGATTTCCTCCCACCTCTGAAGACCCCTATGCACAAGTGAATTATTGAAATAAAATTGAACCATGTGTTTGTCCCGAAATGGCCTAGTTTGTGTCAAGTGGATGTTAAACCCCATTTCTCTCTCTCTTCCCCCCCTAATTCAATTCAAATATTAATAAAAGAAAATTGTATTTTTTACAAATACATGAATAGGAGAAATTAGATAGAACTATTGGTATTTATTAATGTTGTTTGTCGATAAACCTAGTGGTATTTATCTTTTTTGTTGAAAGAAATATTTGTATTTATTAATGTTTTTTGTTGATAGAACTATTGGTATTTTATGTTGATATTTGATAGGAATATTTATTGGTGTTTTTTGTCGTTATTTTTTTCAGGTTAGAAAGAAATCACAGTCTTGTCTTCATACATCGTTTAATCATTTCTCGTATTCTTATCGCTGTATTTTACCTCAAATATTACATCATCTTAGAGATACAAACGTACCAGAACATGCATTTAAGGTGAGTCTTTTAATTCTTGAATTCTCTCTCTCTCTCATTACAACTTTAATGAGATGGCTGGTCGATTCGTCGATCATAATGTCAGTCATTTAGTCAATTGTCGTGGTTTTGATCCCTGCGTTGGCCTAGCAAGGGACAACATATAGTTGTTTGGATGGGATGAAAAACCGAGGTCCTGTGTACACATTTGCATGCACGTAAAGATCCCTTGGTAGTTCGAATTCGATATAAGAGTAGGCCTTAGCACCACTGTTCAAGCAAAATTTCCTTCTTAGCACACTGTATGGCGTATGCCCGCCTCCATTATTGAACTTAAATTGTTAGTCCCAAAATGTCCTAGTCTGTATCGAGTGAACGTCTAAACCTCTCTCTCTCTCTCTCTCTCTGTTAATATTAACTTTTAACTTGATACAAGAGAATAAATTAACAATGTCATTTATATTTTTCCAGGGAACTCTGTACACCATATTAAATACAAGTAAACAACAATGTTTAGCTACAAAGAGAAGTTGGGAAGTTTTAGCCGATTTATGGCCGGCATTGATACAAGCTCAATATTCAGAAAAACCTTCTGTTTTAAAGATTATTGATGATATTGTTCTCAAAGTCATGAAAAATCTGGATTCTTTAGCCATAGATATTCTGGTGAGTCTAATAAAAGGTTCAGTAGATTCTGACTTATAATTCTTGATTTTTTTGTATGGGAGGATAGGTGGGGCTGGGGGGAGGGCACGGTGGCTCAGTGGCTAATACACTGGCTCGCTAACATGGAGGTAGTGTGTTTGATCCCTTCATTGGCTGAGAAAGATCATCGGGATTTTCCGACTTGGTTTCACCTTGTCAGTGATGCAGGACGGAGGGCCTGGCAAGGACAGCTGTCTAGTCGTTCGGATTGGTGTGCTTGTAAAATGTCCAGTGGCTTTTGGAATTTGATATAAGAGTAGACCATAGTGCCACTGCCCCGGTAAAATTCCCCTCATAACACAGTTGGAATTCAAGGTCAGAGAAGGCCATCATGCCACTGTCTGGGCAAAATTACCTCCATAGCACACTGTATGGTGTATGCCCGTCTTCATTAGCCCCCCGTCCATCGGAGCAGATCTGTAGGATGTTAAACCCCATTTTTGTCCAACATGTGCTCCTGATCATAAGTTTTGCTAAGAAACGGTTTGTATGTGACAAGGAGTAAGCGCGGCCACCTAACCTGGGCTTCTCATGGTCCTTCATTGTCCTCCCACATTGCCTGTGCATGCAATCAAAATGTTGAAATAAAAATGTACCTTTTGTTAGTCACAAAATGACCTAATTTACCAACTGAACATCACATGTGTGTGATGCATCTTAAGAACATAGGTTGATTAAACAACAAATTCATGAAGGAGCCAAATAGATAGAAATGAAATGTTTAAAGTCATTGTTAGTGTTTCTCTAATTCTGGATGATTAATTAATGGTAGATTATTGTATTCCACAGCAATCTGATTAAAATACACATCTATATTTCGTTTCGTTTTTTTTTTTTTTTTTTAATACTTCCGATGGCCTCTACTACATGAAGATCGGACCAGTTGTAGTGGGAGATCGCGTCAGAGGTCGTATAAGCGACTATTGACCCTATGACGTCAGACATTGAGTAATCAATCAGCGTTGACATTTCTAGTGGTTTACCCACAGTTCCGTGCACCGCAGCCAAGAACTCGCCATAACAGACCGTTTCAATAGCTAATCCATCACTTCAATCAGAATGCCAAAAATATAACAACTCTTCCAGATTCTAATGTAGTAAAGACAAGTAAAATGAAATTTTGAACTATAAAAAAACGAAACGAAATAGGATCTGTGTTTTGATCAGATTAATTCCATAGGTTACTGAACAAGAAATTTTTAGAAGAATCATGATAAAGAATATTGATATGTATAAAAGTCATCATGGATGTAATTATGCCCGATTAATTAATGTTAAAATATTGTTATTTTTTTACAAGGTAACTGACGGTTGCTTAAAGAGTGCCAAACAACTTTTATCATCATCCAATCCTGCTCCGTCACACCAACCTGGTGATGTTAATCTATTAAAACAAGGACAAGAAGATGAACTGACAAGAAATAAAACAGCTTTAACGTAAGTCAGTTAATCAAAACATAGATTTTCTCCACGGTGGCTAAGTGGGTAAGACGCTAGTTCGCTGGAATGGAGGTCGTGTGTTCGATCCCTGCATTGGTCGAGAAAGTTCATCCAGATTTTCCGGCATTGCCCCCCCCCTCCGCCCCTGTCAGTGATGCAGGACAGAGGGCCTGACAAGGACAGCTGTTAGTCATTCTGATGGGATGAAAAACTGAGGTCCCTTGTACACATTGGTGTGCATGTAAAAGATCCCTTGACAATTGGAATACGATATAAGAATAGGCCATAGTGCCGCCGTCCAGGCAAAATTTCCCTCATAGCACACTGTATGGCGTATGCCCGTCTTCATTAGCCCAGTTCGGAGCAGAACAGTAGGACGTTAAACCCCATTTCATTTCATTTCCTATTTATAGACATATACCTCAGTACCACCCCTTTCAAAACAGAATATAGGTAATTACACTACATGTACTTGGGAGCGGGGGGGGGGGGGGAACTATTGATGAGTACTATGCTTTGGATCATAAGGTTTGTCATTGAGTTAACTGGCATTGTTTCACCCAAAAACTTGTAGAGTCACCTGTCTAACCTTGTGGGTTTTCTATGTGTTCTCCAGTTTCCTGCGATTGCTAAAGACCCCTACGCACCAGTGAATGATTGAAATAAAATTGAACCATGTGTTAGTCCAGAAATGACCTAGTTTGTGTCTAGTGGACCTTAAACCCTATTCGTCTCTCATTAGCCTGAATGGAGCAAAAAAATTCTATCTACCATCTATTAGTTCCAAAATGACCTTGTTTGGCTCGAGTAGACATGAAACCTCTTTTCTTCGCCTCTCTCTGAGGAATGACTTACATTTTAACCATTCTTATGACATATTTGAAATCAGTCATGTGGGTAACAACTTTCTCATTGTTATTGGTATAGTAGTAATATATGTTTATAGACAGAATATTATTTTTTTTTATATTACATAATATATTATATAGTTATTTATGTTTTATATTACAGAATATATCTGGGATTAATAGAAAAACTTGTTGATATTGTTGATAGCGGTAAATTGTAAGTATTTTTATATCTTTATATTTATTTTAAATTGATAATAAAAATAATAATAATGATATTTGTATCGCGCAACTATTCAATCCACTAGGGAATCGACACATTGATGTGTAATATCACAAATAGAATAATTGGGAACATATTTATGTATTGTACAAGGATATGAACCAAGCAGCAGTAATCGCTGCAATGTAATTGGAACAAGTTTGTAGAACATAGAAGTTACTTCTATTCTAATGTTTGTGGCGAGCCACGGTGGCTAAGTGAGTAAGACGCTGGCTCACTAGCCTGGAGGTCTGGTATTCGATCCCTGCATTGGCTGAGAAAGTTCATCAAGATTTTCCGGCTTGGTTCCCCCTTGTCAGTGATGCAGGACAACTGTCTAGTCGTTCGGATGGAATGAAAATCTGAGGTACACATTGGCATGCACGTAAAAGATCCCTTGACAGTTGGAATTCGATATAAGAGTAGGCTGTAGTGCCACTGTCCGGGCAACATTTCCCTCATAGCACACTGTATGGCGTATGCCCATCTTATTAGTCCAGTTCTGAGTAGAACAGTAGGATGTTAAACCCCATTTCATTTCATTTCTATTGTAATGTATTTTATATATTTTTAGATCATGGAAGTTACTTCTATTCTAATGTTATTTTATTTTTATACAATGTGTAGTTACTTCTATTGTATTTTATATATTTTATAGAACATGGAAGTTTAGTGAGATAGGAATGGAGTGTATACAGTTATTATTGAGATATGACGTACAGGCTCCACCTAAAGTTGTACAATTAATAACAAAACAATTACTCAATGATTCGCTCTATGTTAGAAAGGTATGTTGAATCAATTACTCAATAATTCCCTTCATGTTAGAAAGGTATGTTGTATCAATTACTCAATGATTCCCTCTATGTTAGAAAGGTATGTTGAATCAATTACTCAATGATTCACTCTATGTTAGAAAGGTATGTTGAATCAATTACTCAATGATTCCCTCAATGTTAGAAAGGTATGTTGAATCAATTACTCAATGATTCTCTCTCTATGTTAGAAAGGTAAGTGGAATCTCACAATAACAGCATGGATTTTCATACTTTCTTTTTTTGATAAAAGAGATTTGAAATTTTCGGCCAGGAACTGGACCTGAAGCACTACTCATTCTTGTTCTTTATCTCCTTCTTGGTGCAACGCTCATTCTAATACTATTGATATCAAACTTAACATGTTTGTTGATTGTACAATTGTTGATTGTATTCGATTAATGCTATGATTACTGTTGTTATCCCTCGCCAAACAAAGTTAAGGGATATTGAAATGAAATTTGTTCACTCATCCTTCCAATTTCCCACCTTTCACATAAATTTGTGCTAAAAGGGACCATCTTAAGAGTATTTCTGATCATCAACCTATAGCAATATGATCCCCATTCTTTGAAACAATAACTTCACATCTTATAACTTTTGTTGAAATTTTTTTTATTTTAGGTGGCCATGTCTGGTGTTTCTGCTTTATTAAAACAACAAAAACGTAAACACAAGATGATACCTGTTGATCCGTATAAACGATCAAATACTACAGCGCCACCTGACAATAAGTTTGATCCTGGAGATAGGGCAGATAACTCCTGGCATCAATATGATGCATCACATCCAGTTGATTCAGAAGAGAAATGGAATAATGCAGCATTTGTGGAGAAAACACATTGGGGTTTCAACTGTTGGCCAAAGTAGGTTTTACTGTCAGGGTGTGTGGTTCTTTGAGTGGTCATACTAAACTCACGCTGTCTGTCTACAATTAGCTCCACTTGAGAACAGACACTAAGCTAGTTGACCGACATTTTAAGTCAAAATCAAAAATACAAAATATACTTCGAGAATTGTGTTATGGATTTATTCTATTTCCATTTAATAAAATTGAAAAAGTTTATTTAGTCTTTGCGTGTATGAAAGATGTGAAACAGAGTCGAACCGCATTATGAAAAAAGTATACAAATTTTTAGATTTGGCGGTCGTTTAGGGCAGAGATCTATTCTCGAAGTATGAAGTAGATGGATCTCTGTGTGCAGAATGTTGAGTGGTAAGAGCTCTATACTGGAATAGGGAGTCACTCTGGAGCTTCCGTGTTCGATCCCTCTGTTGACCAAGGAGAAAGTTTATCAGGATTTTCTGGCGTGGTTCTCCCTCATCAGTGGTGCAGGACAAAGGGTCTGGCAAGGGACAACGTATAGTCGGTCAGATAGGACGAAAAACCTAGATCCTGTGAACAAAAGGGCGTGCATGTAAAAGCACCCTTTTAAGTTGGAATTCGATACAAGAGTAGGCTGTAGCGCCACTGCCAAGGCAAAATTTTCCTCATAGTCGGAGCAGAAAAGTAGTACATTAGGCCCCATTTTATTTTAATAGCCCTGTTGATGCTAAAAACACATTAAACAACATCTTTTTGATTTCTATAGACGTTAATTACTACAGGACAGGAATTTATTAATAAATAGATTATTCTCTTCCAGATATCCAACTTAAAGATACATTATGCAAGAGCTAAATCTGCCTATTGCAGGTCTTTGTTTAGGCCTTTAAAGTAATCTAAATTATTAATGAGACATTAATTAACTTATCCAGGCCATAATCAACTCTCGATGACATCAGATTTCTCCGATATTAAATAGATTAGAAAGGTTCAGCCATATTTTGATTTAATTTAAAAATGGAGGAGCGAGACTTAGCTTCGAACAACCAGTACGGTGGTTGAAATTATTGCACACGTCTTGCCAAACCTTCAAAGGCTAATATCTTCGCTCGCAATAGAGTAATTTGAATGAAATTTTCAAATTATTCAGTTTAGATTATCTATTTTCGAACTATTATAGCAAGAATGGCTAGTTCTTTATCTAAATCTTACATAATGTATCTTTAAAATTATCACTTATTCTTAATACATTCCTAATTGTCCTTTATGTTTTTTTTATACAGAAAAATGATGATCCATGCTCCTGCCCCGGAACAACCAGAATTAAATCGTGATCGTAAAGTTCTGTCAGAAGCTGAGGCAGTAATATACGATAATTTCCAGAATCCAGCATTTATTGATAAATTAATCTCCTTTCTATCTCTAGAAGAACAAAAGGGTCGTGATAAATTCCGAACAAAATATCTCGCTTTATTTAAGGTATGGTATATATTTTCTTATTACCGAGAAGGGAGACGCGGTGGCTCAGTGGTGGGCCTGGAATTTTTAGCACATCAACTACCGTGGTTTTGATTCCTTGGTTGTACGTGACAAGGAGTAGGTTCACCTGTCCAACCTTTATGGGTTTTCCCCATGTTCTCCGGTTTCCTCCCAATGCTAAAGATCCCTATGCATAAGCAAATTATTGAAATAAAACTGAACCATATGTTAGTCCCGAAATGATCTAGTTTGTGTCGAGTGGATGTTGAACCCCATTTCTCTCTCTCTCTCTTTTCATCTCGAAGGACACACACGTAGAAATGTTATGATACAAATAATTGGGCTTTTCGCGACTGTGACATAAATATGTCTCACGTTGGATAATATTTAAACCAATTTAAATCAAAATGGATTCACACTTAAATACTTTCGCAATGTAGATGGCTATACAATAAGATTTAGTCCCGAAGGGTCCCCACCTTCTTTATTTATACATGGTTAACCAATCAAAACGAGAGAGATGAAATTGAGTATATGGTTCATCAATAGCTTTAATAAAATTGATAACGAGCATTTTTCGGCTCAAATTAAGCAGACTAATGCGTAAATTATTTGCTTGTGTTTTATGAAAAGATGATTGTTCAAGTAATTGATGAGTGTCATCTATTTATTTTTGAATTCTGATTAAAACATAGATCCTATTACGTTTCATTTTTTTTATAGTTCAAAATTTTATTTTACGTCTCTTGTTAAATAACCCGCTTTCTAGGTAATGTGAGGGATTAACCAATCAATTGGTCTGTTGAGTTGAATTCTTATTGTGTGGGTAAACCTTCGCAGCTATAGAAAACAAAACAAAGCAAAAGTTGTCTTTCTGAATACCCACTAGGAACACCGATGCTGATTGGTTAACCATATGGTTAATGTCATAAGGTCAAAAGTCACTCATATGACCCCTGACACGACCTCCCACTACAATCATTCAGTTCTTCATGCAGTGAAGGCCATCGAAAGTATAAAAAAACGAAGTGAAATATAGATGTGTATTTTAGTCAGACTGTTTATTTTGTGAATAATTTGGGGAACAACTCTCACACTTGGATTGTAATTCTCAAAATAATGTCCATAAAACAGTTAAAACCTGTCTGTTTAAACATACATTATGCAAGAGCTAAATCTGCTTATTGCAGGTATTTCTTTAGGAATGAAATGTTTTATAAATTATTAATTAGACATTAATTAACAAAACAAGATGATAATCAACTCTCGATGACATCGGATACTCAAGATTTTAACTAGATTAGGACGGTTCGCTATTTAAATTTTAATTTAAAAATGGGAAAGCGAGGCTAAGTCTCGAATATACCAGCGCCCTGGTTACCACTATGCACACATCTTGTCAAATCTACAAACAGTGATAACTTGGCTCAGAATGAAGTAATTTGAATGAAATTTTCAATATTTTCATTTGGTATTATCTATTTTTGAGCTATTATAGTAAGAATGGTCAGCTCTTTATCTAAATCTTACAGAATGTATCTTTAATATTATTGTGCTTTTATTATTTCAGGGTTTATTTCGTAATTATGGTATAGTAATGTTAGATATATTTAAAGCTCATATAGAGAGATTAGTAATGGATACTAGTCATGATAAACAAGACTGTAGTCAGAGATGTGGTATGGAAATATTAGGTGGTGCAATACGTGGTGCTAAACACTGGTCTTATACACATGTAAGTTTCATTTATTTATGGACTTTACAGAGCCTCAGTGACTCAGTGACTGAGAAACTGGCTTGCTTAATTGAGGTCCGAGGCTCGATCCCAGTGTTGATCCAAAAAGTTTCCTCGGATTTTCAGCGTGATTTTACTATGTCAGTGTTGCCAAATAGATGGTCTGGTAAGGACATTGTCCTGTCGTTCGGATGGGCCAAAAAACTGAGGTCTCGCGACAGTTGGAATTCAGTATAAGAGTAGGTCAGAGGGCCTAAGAAGGACAGCTGTCTAGTCTATCGTATGGGAAGAAAAACTAAGGTCCTGTGTGTACAAACCCTTGACAGTTGGAATTCGATATAAGAGCAGACCGTCGCGCTGCTGTTAGGCAACATTTCCCTCATAGCACATCGTATGACATATCATGCCTGTCTTTATTAGTCCAGTCGGTGTAGAACAGGATGTTAAACACCATTTCATTTCATTTATTTCTTTACCAGTTGAGGCATAGTGGTCTATTACATGCACTGTATAAGTCATGGATTCAGTCCCATGCTTGAATGTGATTAGAAGTAGGGTTGTCCACCTAACATCATAGGTTTTCATCATATATACCTGTTTCCTCCCTCTTCTAAACGCCACTGCTCGTTGGAGAATTGCTGTACTTTAGCCCCCAAAATGACCTGCGTAAAAGGTCAGAGTGCTCGTGCTGTTAAAACACTGCCTCAATTGAGTTCTTGTTAAACAAAGCAAAGTGTTTAAGGAGGACTCATTTTATGAATTAGAATGTGTATTTTGTTTTAAATGTAGGAGATATGTATTTAAATGTAGTAGATATATATAATTAAATGTATGCAGGGGCGAATCCAGGAATTTTTGCAGGAGGGGGTTTGCCAGGTTCCTGTTAAGGAAATCTGTCATCATCGTCTCTAAATTACATAGGCATACATACAAATTGAATTTTTTAAAGAGAGAAATCATTTTTGTAATGATGTAGGAACACATTGTGATTGTATTTCATTGATGCAAGGCATTCAATTTTTTTATGTATTTTATCCCCCTCTGGATCCGCCCCTGGTATGAGATATATATATATATATATATATAAAATATATATATATATATATTTAGAACATTGCTTGTTGTATTTTATACAGGTTAAAGAATTATGGGACTGGGCAGCACCATTATTACAGAAGACGTTCCCTAACTTTAGTATAGAAACTGTAGATGATTGGGGCACATTCTATAGTTCAATATCAGTAAGTAAACAGTATGTTTAATATCAGTAACTAAATAAACTGATTAATATCAGTAACTAAATACTTTATTTAATATCACCAACAAACTCTTAGTTAATATCAGTAAGTAAAGTATTTATTCAATATCACCAACAAATGTTTTTAATATCAGTAAATAAGCAATCTCGTCAACTTGTGTTTTAATCTCAAAACTAATATACAAAACTTATAACAAAATTTGTTAGCTATGTGATCTTCCCAAATTAATAGGGGGGTTGGATGGCCGAATGGTTAGCATGTGCACGTTCCGTTGTATCATAAGGTCTGTCATTGAGTCAACTGGCGTAGTTTCGATTCCCCAGTTGTACGTGACAAGGAGTAGGGTCGCCTGTTCAACCTTGTGGGATTTCTCTGGGTCCTCTGGTTTCCCGGTCCTTCCGTGTTCGATCCCTTGACTCAATGACATACCTTGTGATTCCACCCAAACCCCCAAGAGTCTAGTAAAATTAGGGTGCAAAGCCACTTACCAAGTTCAGATATGATCTTCATGATTTATATGTACACGGTTCTCAAGACTGGACATGGCTACAGTCAAAAAAAAAAAAAATATAAAATAAATCTATTTCCTCAAAATGTACGCAATAGAATATAAAATGATTTAAAACAAATCTTTTAATAAAAATAAATCGTTTAAACTTAATAATAACGATACTTTTCAACTGTTTTTTTTTTTCAGGAAAGCAGAGATCCACGTAAATTATTTCAACTTTATGAACTTTTATTACAAAATCCCTTCAGTGGAGAAGGGGGTGCATTCGGGGATTCAAGGTAAAATCCATATTTGAGATTCATTTTGAGTGAGTGATTGAGGTCCACTGGACACAAACTAGTTCATTTTGGGACTAACATATGGTTCAATTTTACTTCAATAATTCGCTTGGGCATAGCGTTTTTTAGCAGTGGGAATAAACCAGAGGACCCGGAGAAAACCCACCAGGTTGAACAGGCGACCCTACTCCTTGTCACGTATGGCTGTCAGAGAAGTTTTAACTAGTGTAAGATAACAAACATAACCATATGTTAGTCCCAAATGATTTCAGTATTTTTAACTAGTGTAAGATAACAAACATAACCATATGTTAGTCTCAGTATTTTTTTAATTGTTATTTCAGTCGTTTATTGATCATATTAAGTGGCTTAATTCAACAAGAATGGAGAGTACCTCAATTATTACAGAAGTTACTAAAAATAGTAACACCACATTTAGCTCATCAGTATAAAAATGTCAGGGATCAACTAGGAAGGTAAGAATACATTTTTATACATCATCGATAAAGAGCTGACAGTTCTTGCTATAATATACTATTCAAAAAAAGTAGGGGATATTTGATTTTTAAGTGTTATTAAAGTCACCTAATGAAACTGACGAAGAAACAAATGACAAAATGAAATGAAGTTCACATTCATCGATTTATTCCAAATGATCGTTAGACTAAGTAAGGCACAGACTGCCCATTATAAGGGTAAAATGATACCCGGGGTCAAACAGCAAAGTTACCACAGCATCACAACCAAGTCAGTAACGGGTAAATCCTCCTCTGTTTGCCAAACAAGCATTGATCCGACGTGGCATACTCCTAATGAGACGTCTAAGGTCATTTTGGTCCAGATTGTCCCATTCCTGTTGCAACGCAGCAGCAAGTTCTTGGACATTGGCAGGACGTTGTTGACGTTGACGTAACCTCTGTCCAAGCATGTCCCAGACATGCTCGATGGGGGAGAGGTCGGGACTCAGTGCTGGCTAAGGTAATGTGGTGATGTTCTGTTGTTGGAGGTAACCTGTAACGATCCTGGCCCTGTGACATCTTGCGTTGTCATCCTGGAAGATGAAACGGCGGCCATGACGTCGTGCGAACGGCACAACATGGACTGCCAAGATGTTGTCCCGGTAGTACTGGCCTGTAACACGCCCTGCAACAACATGTAAAGCCGTTCTTCCAGCAACAGTGATGCCTCCCCACACCATAACAGAACCACCCCCAAATCGATCATGTCTGATGACGTTAACGTCTTGGAAGCGCTCGTTTCGACGACGCCACACCCTCCTACGTCTGTCCAAAAAATCAACAGTGAACCTTGACTCCTCTGAAAACATCACATTGCTCCAGCGTCGATTATCCCAGTGTTGACGATCCCTACACCAACGACGTCTTGCCTGAATGTGATGATCTCTCAAACAAGGGATCACGCGAGGACGTCGGGCGCGAAGGTGACCCCTATGCAGTCGATTCCGAATCGTCTGGCCACTCACTCTCACACCAGTGTCTGTTTGAAGACGAGCGCTGATCTGATTTGCTGTGATGACACGATTTCTCAAGGCCAAGGTACGGATAAATCGATCCTGGGCTTGAGTTGTCGCCCTTGGTCGACCTGAGCGTGGTCTGTCCTGTACACATTGTGTATCACGGTATCTGGACCATAGCCTGCTTATGACAGACTGAGAAACATTCATCGTCCGCGCCACAACCGCCTGTGTTGTGCCGATCTGTAGCATGCCAACGGCACGTAACCTTTCATTTTGGGTAAGCCGACGCATATCAAAATTTGTTTTCTGGTCACTAAAACAATTAAACTGATGTTTCCACCCTGGAATTCAATGCCACAATGACTGTAACATTCAAAGTCAGAGTCGTGCAAATCTTGGGTTGGACCCCCATGATTATCCCAAGCATCACCTGCATTCCATGCGGTAGCTATTGGTGCGTTTGGGCGTCACATGTAACTGGAAATGTTTCTTTTGTTAGGTTCTATAGTGACTTTTTTCTTAGTCATTTGCATATTTTAGTATTATGCCCCCAAAATCAAATATCCCCTACTTTTTTTGAATAGTATAGTTAAAAAATAGATAATGAAAAGAGTATGTGCTGAAAATTTCAGTCAAATTGATTCACTCTGAACCAAGATATTAATGATTCAGTTTTAGGCTAGGCTATTTCGTTTCGTTTTTTTATTCTTTAGATGGCCTACACTACATGAACATCTGACAAGTTGTACTCGAAGGTCGTGTCAGGGGTCGTACAAGCGAATTTGAATTATTGACGTCAGACATTGATTAATCAATCAGCGTTGATGTTTCTAGTGGTTTCCCCACAGTTCTGTGCATGGCACACCAAGAAGTCACGGTAACAGATGGTTTCATTGGCTAATCCCTCGCATCATCCAGAATGCCTGTTATATAACAACTGTTCCAGATAAATAAAACAAAATTTTGAACTATAAAAAAACGAAACGAAATAGGATCTGTGTTTTATTCAGATTTGGATCTATTTTTAGAAGACTGAGGTAACAGAAAATACATGAAACTTGAATCCAAATACAATTGAAGTCTGGATCTATTTGTAAAAGACTAATATTTTTGTTGATATTTGTATATTTCAGTTTACTGGCTAATATATTTCTGTATGATTATAAAATATATCCTAAATCTGTTATCCGATCACCTCAAATATCTGACTTCATGACACTAGTTTTACCACAGTTAGAGAAGCTTAAAGTTGAAGCAATTACACCTAACTCAGGTTTGTAGACAGTTCTTAAAGGGGGGGAGGGGAATCCCCGGTTGTACGTGACAAGGAGTAGGGTCGCCTTTCCAAACTCGTAGGTTTTCTCAGAGTCCTCTGATTCCCTCCCACTGCTAAAGACCCCTATGCGCAAGCGAATTATTGAAATAAAATTAAACCATATGTTAGTCCCGATATGACCTAGTTTGTATCGAGTGGACGTTAAACCATCTCTGTCTCTTAAAGGGGCATTATGGTAGATTAACTAAAGAGTTGACAGTTCTTCACTATAATAGTTAAAAAAGGGATAATGTAAATAGAATATGCTGAAAATTTCAGTCATATTGGTCCTCTCTGAACCGATATATTAACTTTTGAATTTTAGGCTAAATTCGATCATCATTACTAAAGTCGATACGATAAAAAACAAAGTCTTGATTATCCATTTTAACGTTTGATTATCCTCCACAAAATGTATTCCAATCCATTAAATATTGCAGGCTAGCGATTGCATTGAGAGTTGATTATGGTCTGGATAAGTTAATTAATGTCTAATTGATAATTTAGATAACATTTCAAACCCAAAGAAAGACCTGCAGTAGGCAGATTTAGCTCTTACAAAATGAATGTTTAAGTATGAGATAAGGGGATCGTCGGAACCGTGGTTACTTGTGGGTGGGGAGCGCTAGTCCTAACCCCAATAATTTGCATATCTGTGTGCAATAGTTTTAAAAAAGTTAACCCAAGGACAAGCCCCCGGACCTCATTTTCGCACGCAACGCTTATAAATAACCCTATAAGTTGTTTTGACAAGAGGGGTCGTACACATTTTGATAATAAAACTTTCTTCAATGGAATTACTAATTTATCAATAATTGCTTCCATTTTTATTTGGATATTTTCTTAGTTATTTTCTGATTTAAGGTAAAAGTTTGTTTTTCTGTATTTGTTTATTTGGTACATTTAGGAATAATTTCTTGTTATTTTAGAAGACACAGAAGTAAAGATGGAAGTAGATAATGTCGACTCTACAGAAGAAGAAAGAAAACATGCTATAAGACTATGTAAAACAGGTACATTTTAAAACATATCCAGAACCTAACAATTGAATTTTCGAATCCCCGGTTGTACGTGACAAGGAGTAGGGTCGCCTGTCCAACCTCGTGGGTTTTCTCTGGGTCTTCCGGTTTCCTCCCACAGCTAAAGACCCCTACGCGCAAGCGAATTATGTAAATAAAATTAAACCATATGTTAGTCCCGAAATGACCTAGTTTGTGTTGAGTGGACGTTAAACCCCATTTCTCTCTCTCTCTTTAAAACATATCCAAAACCTAAGAATTGAATATAAAAGCACTCAAAATGTAGTATTGATGCTATTTTGTTTACAAATGTTGTGTATTTACGAATTTTTAAAGATACATTATGGCAGATTAAATAAAGAGCTGGCAGTTCTCACTATAATAGTTAAAAACTAGACAATGTAAAGAGAATTTGCTGAAAATTTCAGTCAAATTGATCCACTATGAACCGAGAATTAAGCGATTGAAATTTTTGGCATAGCCTCGATCATCATTACTAAAGTCTGTACGGTAAAAAACATAGTCTCGATCATCCATTTCATGATTAAATTATGAATGGAAGTCGAGCAGCAAATGGGATCATAATCCAGTAAATATCACAGGCTAGTGATGATATCGAGAGTTGATTATGGTCTGGATAGGTTAATTAATGTCTAATTGATAATTTAAATAACATTTCAGGCCTAAAGAAAGACCTGCAATTGGCAGATTTAATTCTTGCATAATGTATGTTTAATTTTTTTCAGTGTTGAAATTTTTAGTGAGTAGTAATGGTAGAGCCTTTACCACATCATCTAAAGAAGTTTTACCACTATTACCTATAGTAAGTTCTTCATTTAAAAACTCCAACCTGGTGGGTTTCTTTCCGGGTCCTCCGGTTTCCTCCCACTGCTAAAGACCCCTACGTGCAAGCCAATTATTGAAATAAAATTGAACAATGTGTTAGTCCCGAAATGAACTAGTTTGTTAAACCCCATTTCTCTCTCTCTCTCTCATTTAAAAACATGACAAGGTCACCTGTCTAACCTCGTGGGTTTGCTCCAGGTCCTCTGGTTTCCTTCCACAGCTAAAGAACCTAGGCGAAAATTGAATCATTTGTTAGTCCCAAAATGACCTAGTTTGTGTCAAGTGGACGTTAAATTTTTTCTTAAGGATGCAATATGTAAGATTTAGATAAAGAACTGGCAGTTCTCGCTATAATAGTTCAAGAATAGATAATTCAAAATTTAAATATTGAAAATTTCATTCAAATTACTTTATTCTTGGCCAAGTTATCACTGTTTGAAAATGTAGCGCTGAACACTTATCATTTATTATCATAGCATCGTTACTTGACAACTGAGATATGTTTCAATTATCCATTTTATCAAGAATTTTTTAAAATCTTGCGGGTGTTCAAATCCATTTAAGTCTCCACCATCCAGACTTAACAATTAGTGATATCATACACAAGTGGATGCAATCTAGATCATAAGGTCTCTTGTACTGAAAACCAGGAAGAATGCAGTCCGGATCATCAGGTCTCTTGTACTGCAAAAACAGGAAGACTGCAGTCAGGGTATTTAGAACCTTTGTACTGGAAAAACAGGAAGAATGCAGTCTGGGTCATCATGACTCTTGCACTGGAAAAACCGGAAGAATGTATTCAGGATCATCAGGTCTCTTGCACTGGAAAAACAGGAAGAATTTTACTCCAACTTGATAACAATACATAAAAGAAGATGGTCCCAAGGTAGAATTATTAATATTGATTTGTTTATATTTTTAGATTTGTGCTTTAGATTGTGAATCAAAAGATGATGATCTGAAAGTTTTGCGACAAAAAGCTTTTTATTGTTTGTCTCATGCTTTAATAGAAATAGACGATATACCAGTTGTCATAGCAACCATGAAAGAGGTAAATATTTATATTTCGCTACAGACTTGTTGAGTGTATTTAAGGGATGGTCCATTAAAGATAATCATAAAGTCTTTCATTGGATCAGGTGGTTTCAATTCCTTGCTGAAGCGTGACAAGGAGTAGGGTCGCTTCCTCAACCTCATAGGTTTAGTCTGGGCCATTTGTTTCCTTCCATGAGCTAAAAACGCCTACGTGCAAGCAAATGATCGAAATAAAATTGTACCATATGTTAGTCCCAAAATGATATAGTTTGTGTGTTTTGCCAGAGTTATGTCCCTCTCACACTTTGTAAAATCTTGTGGCCACTCTAGAGGCTAAAGTTATCATTTGGTTGACTTTAGATTTATACAGTGTTTATGTTCATGAGATGAAGAAGCCTGCTGATTTTCAGAGATTTCTGATAATTACTGCCAGAGTAATGACTCTTAATCACTTTGAAAAATCTTATGAACACTTCAGAGGCTAAAGCTATCATTCGAATGACTTTAAATTTATACACAGGGTTTTTAAGGTATTGAGATGAAGAACCCTTTAATTGGCTCTTGATGATTTTGAATAATTTTGTGGATGCTTTTAAGAGATTAAGAGAGAGAAAGAGAGAAATGGGGTTTAACGTCCACTCGACACAAACTAGGTCATTTCAAGACTAACACATGGATCAATTTTATTTCAATGATTCGCTTGCATGTAGGGGTCTTTAGCAGTGGGAGGAAATCGGAGAACCCGGAGAAAACTCACGAGACTGGACAAGCGACCCTTCTCCTTGTCAAGTACAACCTAGGAATCGAAACCACGCCAGTTGACCATTCAGCCATCAAACCACCCTTTAGAGGTTAATGTTGTCATCTGTTTGATTTTAAATTTATACACTGCATTTGTATTCATGAGATGAGGAAGCCTATTGATTTCCAATAATTACTGCCAAGGTATTTACCCATGAGAACTTTAAACAATCATGTCTTTATTTTTATACACATGGTTTATGTTCATAAAATGAAGAAGTCTAGAATTACTTTCAGAGTTATTACCCTTGATCAATTTTCAAAATCTTGTGGACCCTCTAGTGTGTAAAGTTATTTTTGGATTTATTTTAAATGCATACACAGTGTTTATGTGATGGAAAATGTTATTTGTAAACAGTTTTAGATAACTCGAACAGCTAAATTAATCATTGTTACTGGTATCTGTTTTGTATAATAAATATTAGCATCTTGAAGAACTCGAAACGTTTGCTAACTAGAAGATCTGGGATTTTATCCTGGTGTTGGGCGAGAAATTTCCCTGGCATTTTTCAGCATAGTTTCCCTTTGTCAGTAGTGCAGTACAGAGGGCTTGGCAGGGAACTGCATTTGTGAATTTGACTTCTTTATTTTAACAATTCTAGTTGTTGAAGGACATGAATTCTGTATTCTTCTCAACATCAACCAACAGGTTCTTCGATCACGGACACCAAATGATTAAGGTGTATCAAGGGATCTAACAATGACTGTGTATTTGACTTCTTTAATTCAACAATACAGGAACAAACATTAAAAATCATTACATGTATAACAACCAATACAACACACAGGAAAATAATATATCATATTGTAGTCATTACATGTATAACAATCAATACAACTCACAGGAACATAACATGTCATAACTGATAGTAGTCATTGTCCCATGAACTCGTTCTGTCTTGTGCAGCCGTCTCTCGATAAGCTTGTCTGAGTTATGATTCTACCTGAGATCATTTATAAACGGTCAAGGTGTTATCAACAACCTTATTAGTATTTAACAGCCATTTACAAGGTTATAATAAATATATATCAGTAGTTGTACATGTATGTGACAAGTAGTAGGGTCACCTGTCCAACCTTGTAGGTTTTCTCCGGGTCCTCTGGTTTGCTCCCACTGCTAAAGACCCCTAAGCGCAAGCGAATTATTGAAATAAAAATTAAACCATATGTTAGTCCTGAAATGACCTAGGTTGTGTCGAGTAGACGTTAAACCCCATTTCTCTCTCTCTCTCTCTCTCTCTCTCTCTCTCTCTTTTCCTTCTCATGTGAGGTTTTTTCGTCTCCTTGGGTTTATTAATACTTGGGTCCTCTGGTTTCCTCCCACTGCTAAAGAACCCTAAGCGCAAGCGAATTATTGAAATAAAATTTAATCATATGTTAGTCACAAAATGACCTAGTCTGTGTCGAGTGGGCGTTAAACCCCATTTCTCTCTCTCTCTCTCTCTCTCTCTCTCTCTCTCTCTCTCTCATATATTAGTAGCCTTCATTTAACGGCAATCATATATTATCTTATACACAACTACAAAACACTAAAAATAAAAACAGTCTTGAACATACATTATTCAAGAGCTAAATCTGGCTATTGCCTGAAATGTTACACAAACTATTAATTAGACTTTTATTAACATGACAAGACCATAATCACCTCTTGATGCCATTGGATATCTCAGATATTAAGTAGATTAGAACGGTTCAGCCATATTTTGATTTAATTTAAAAATGAAGCTTAGCTTCGAACAACCAGTACAGTGGTTGCAATTAATGCACATATCTTGTCAAACCTTCAAAGGCTATATCTTCGCTCGCTGTTTGAATGGAATGTTCAATATATTCATTTTACATTATCTATTTTCGAACTATTTAATCTTGCTATAATAGCAAGAATGGTTAGCTCTTTATCTAAATCTTACATAATGTATCTATAATTATAATGTATCTATAATTATAATTCTGTCAAATAAGATTTGATAAATTAAAATCGATGCTTACATATTTCACTCCATTAAAAGTAGATTCATGCCATTCTCTGCTGCGTAATAGATTTTAATGGACATCTTAAATATTATTTTTAAAGGTTATTTTGATTTAGTGAAAGCAATATATAATAACAGACAGCTTAAATATTGTTAAACAAAGTCTTCAAACGATTTTATATATAGGAAACAGATCGTAAAAGCTAAATATATATAAGATGGTATGTTTTTATTTGAGTAAGTTATAAGAGAAACAGGTGCTTTCTGTAAACTAGGTTACAGGTTTTTTATTTTCTAGTTTAATTATTAATCAATAGTCTAACTTGGTGAAATTAATACTAACTAAATACATTATAATATTGCTGAGTGTACACAGAGTGAGGTTTATATTAGTAACTGTTAAACATACATTATGCAAGAGCTAAATCTGTCAATTGCAGGTGTAATTATCAGTTAGACATTATTTAACGTATCCAGGCCATAATCAACTCTTGATGGCATTGGTTTTCTCTGATATTAAATAGATTACAACAGTTCAGCCATATTTTGATTTAATCTTAAAATGGAGGAGCGAGACTTAGCTTCAAACAACCAGTACGGTGGTTGAAATTATTGCACATGTCTTGTCAAACCTTCCAAGGGTAATACCTTCGCTCACAATAGAGTAATTAGAATGAAATTTTCAAATCAATCATTTTACATTATCTATTTTCGAACTATTATACATGTAGCAAGAATGGCTAGCTCTTTATCTAAATCTTAAATAATGTATCTTTAAGAAGAAAAAAGTTCTGTTTAAAAGCTAGACTATTAAAAACTTGTGTGATTTGTTGATTTATTTGGACTAAAAACATATTGAAACCAATTAATCTATCTTCAAGTATCTCAAAACATTGTATTCACGACGAAATGCCCCAAGCTCTAAAAAATCTATTTAAATAAGCTATTTTTTGTCACGTGACATTGGTGGTCACGGAAACTAGCCAAGCCGATTAAAGATGATGCTGTCTTTAAACACTGTCCATTTACTATAAATATTGAAGCCTATGTAAATTCTGGAATTGTCCCCTGCCCACTCAGTCCTTCACGTTTAAGGGGAGCTTTTGCTCCTGCTCTTCTCGACGCACGTCGGCTTTCCTTCGAAGGAGTCATTAAAGACTCCTGCAAATTAGCTAAATCGCTCTCCTAAATATTGAGATTAATAAACTACTTTCAGTTTTTGTTTACTTTTAAACTGCATATATTCAAGGTATCAAGAGCTTTTTATGGCTCCCGCGCAATTTTATAAACATGAAGGACTGCCCACTTCTTTTTCCGTAGTTTAGTCTCAGAATCTGTTGTATGTTTAGGTCTCTCACTTTTTCCACATCTGCTCGCCATCATGTTTGTCAATATATACATTAAGCGCTCCCTAATGCAAAGAGGTCAGACAATCTGCGCATGCAACCTTGGACGTCACTTGAGCAGACAGCCCTAATCTTCAGACTGATAATTAATGACAGCCTCAAATTTTTTTCCTGTATGCACTCCATGGGTGTTTTTCATGGATTCCAGTATTTTTCTAGTAAGATTGGATATTTCTACTTTCCAAAATTGCCATCATAATTTATTTGGAAAAAACACACCCGATAAATACTTTTGAGGGAATGCATCTTTGAATATCAATATTTTAAGAATATTTCAAAGACTCTTGTGGATGCAGTTTTTAACTTGTAAATCTTGATCATAGAGTTACTTCTAATTTTACTGCTGATTCTGGTCGTGCATTTTTCACAGCTTATTCTATTCTATAATGTGCTCAAATGAAAATCATTCTCACACTTTATCCAATACTCTTACAATTTAGATTAAAATTAATTTGGAAAAAACAAATTATTTAATTATTTTTTGCATCACTACTCAGGCAATTCTCCCGCGAAGAGAAAACATTACTTGTGTAAAATTTTTTGAATCCTTTAGAAAAGAATTTACATTTGTTGTAAACGTCAAAAAAAAAACAGAAGCGTTATGCAACGTGTGCAATACTAAAATCAATATAGCTTCTGGTGACATATTGATTTACGACGACAAGTAAAATCGGAAAAGCATAATAGAATTGGCAAAGCTGTTGATTCCAGCGATGTAATATCTTTTGCCAATTTTATGAGAACACAAGACAAGACTAGACTTGAGTGTTTATATAAATAAAGTGCTAATATCAAGTATTAATAAACCCAAGGAGACGAAAAAAACCTCACATGAG